AACGTGGAAGTTTAAAATGTGAATGCTAAAGTAAAGAAGAGCAAACGTACATTTTCCAAATCAGACACCCATTTGTAGTTGGATGGAATCTGAAAATGAACCACCGTGACAGAAAGCCAAGCGTTGTCACAATTGAGTGGATCCGAAGATGACCCTATATCAATCTGAAATAATTAGTGTTAATTTGATCGAATGTCTTCAACTACTTCTTAATTAGCATAATGCGGTTAATAGTGCTAAGAAGGCACATAATGTGACAATCGAACGTTACGTTAGCTTAAAATGAGTTTGTGCTTGCGATGTTGATCAAAGAATAATGGTAAGAATAGCGTACATATTGTACAAATGAGGCGATAAATTCATCGATAACTGTTTTCTTGCTTGACTCAGCTTCAATATCCTGGCAGTTTTGACAGAAGGTTCGGACCAATCCGTTAAAGCATGTGGTTTTACTACAACTTGGAGGGTGAGTGCAGAGAAACTGAAAAGAGATTGACGGGTCTATTGAATACAATGGTTAACACAAACATTCTGAAATGAATATTTTAGCTGAGTTTAATACCCAAGGAAATTGTGCCTGTGGTCGAATACCCTTTAAAATAAGCACTTCATCGTTGTTACTGCCACGAGTCACCACGACGATGCAGGCTAAATTGACGCCGTATTTTGGCAGCAGTCCCTTACCAGCCGTGCCAACTCGGCCTTCAGGATTCCTTGGTAATGAGTCATTAAAGGTCAAATTTGCTGAGTCAAATGAGTGTAGCCGAGACACCTCAGCTGTCGGCACGGCGTTGGTCTGCCACTGAGGCACCATGTACCTGCGGGGACTCCAAGGAATAGCATGGTATTTCGGATAGGACACCTTAACAGAATGGACAAAAGACGTACAAACACTTCAAAGAAGCATCGCCTCTTAAAACAGTGTGTTTTGTCTAACAGGTCCATAGCCCTTAGTTCCCTTTCAAAGTGTAGCTAGTTGTGTTAGTAATAGGTGCATTACTGAACCCAATAACCTGGACTACAAAATCGGTAACCTCTAAACCAAATTATCCATTTAATGAATGTCAAAACATCAATGAATAACTGGAGGTGTACTTCTATTACTACTCCAACCATCAGTAAATATTTTGTTTGCTTAGAACATATGTAGTATAGCAGCTTAAAGCTCATAACACATTTGTTATGAAGTAGGAAAACCTAGACAAATTAACCGCAATTTAACCGCATTTGATTAATTGAGATGCCACTGACCTCCCAAGGGATGGGGGGATCCAA